AATTTCAGTAACGACCGGAACTTTCGCTAAGCAATGGTACTCAATTTTGGCACTGTTATATCCTGAATGAATTCCCCAGACAAACAGAAAAATATCTCACAACTATATTGCATATTTAAAAAAAATGTCTTATTCAGTAAAAAAATGTTTTGTCTCAAATACTGACAGACTTATTATTATAAGTTGAACATTATTCCACCTCTGATGTTTATTATAAATTGTGAGTTAATATTTAAATCAAAGTGACTTACAGAACCTTTGGGTCATGTGGTAGAAAATGTTTTTGAAAAATTGTGAAACTTATTGAAAATATTTATTAATGAATATGCACATACATGTCACTATAATAAAACACATTGTATTGTATTGTATTGTATTGTATTGTATTGTTTAGTATTGTATATCACATTTAATAATCAGTTCTGGCACAACATGACTTGACAATCTTATCTAGACACTGCAATATCGTTGCATTGCTCAGTAAGTCAAAATAATGACATCAGGTATGCAATAAGTCTTCCTATGAAGAAATGACCAGTGGTCAGATAGATATGTGAGTGTTCAGTCATATACATTAATTAACAAAGTGACCAGATAATATTGAAACTTTTGTTTTTTAAATAGAATATCTTCCACAAATTGTGTCTTTTTTTGTGTTCCCTCTATTATTTGTGGTCTACGATACAGATGGTTGGGAAGGGCCAGTATAAAATAACTTAAAATAAGCTGTTTCTCGTATAGAATCTCAGCCCCCTCCCCTCCATGTCAATTTCACCTGTTATATACAAGTAAATAGGACATTTTTTAAAGAAGAAATACAGCCAAGACTTGATACCAAATATAAATATTGTTAAATTTTGAGTTGTGACACATACAAACACCTTTATGGCATGACCACTCAGGTGTCCATCCCTCACAAGGTGAGGTCAGTATTGTTTGACCGTAGGATTAGTAGCTACTGTAATACTGACTACTGACTATCCAGTAATTGTGTACATTTGTCCTAGCCTACACACAATACAATGTATTGTCCATTCACAAAAAAATAAAATCTGAAAGGCTTCTCCACAAAATATTGACCCAAGGAAGTGACCACTTGGCAGATTCACATAAGGAGAAGACTTATTCATGCCTTTGTCACCTCTCGACTGACCCAAACACCTTCAGCAAGATTTGATCGCCTCATGTTACAAAAACTCGTTGACCATGAAAATAAACTCCTTTTTCAGACTCTATTAATGTGGAGCGGTCAGTTCATAAAACGTCTGTCCATGTGACAGTGTGACAGATGATGACCATACAATTTGGTTTGATGACCTCAACACTGTGATATTGATCGGCTCGTGTCGCACCGATAGGATTGTCCAAACTCTGTCTCATGGTCATTTTACTGGCCGCTCATTAACAGGAGAGCTATGATTGGCCGGTATCGGTGACTGGTTGATGAAAGGAGACCCGACATAAAACACAACCAACCTTTTGTCAGGGACAGTAAATGCCTGTAATCCGATTGGACAGAGGTCTGTCCGCAGATCCACACTTGGACTAATAATAGGATTATCTCATTATTTTCATTCTCATGCAATCTGAACAAAAGTACACTTTGTTGGTCATTTCACATCAATGTTATCCCTTGTGTACTTTTCACAGACTTAACATGGAAGATGTACTTTCAAGACCTTCTGATACATGAACAGTACAAGCCATACCTTTTACAGATCTAACACAGAAACTGTACTTTCAAGACCTCCGATACATGAAAACAAGCCTTACTTTTCAAAAGACCTAACAGAAGGCGGAATTTTCAGGCACACCTGATACATGAAAACAAGCAATACATTTTTCACTAATCTAACAGTGAGGCTGTCTTTTCAAAACATGGGAACATGAACCAAGTAATATTTTCGCAATCTCCCGGGTACATGAATCAAATTTTCATAGATTTGACAGCCTTTCTGATATATGAACCAATTCCAGCTAACAGTATACCTAAGTAGAGTTTTCCACACTGGTTTGTCAGATTCGTAGTAAGTTAACATCCCATTGCTGTTATCTGACGATAAAGGAACATTTGTCTTAAAAGGATATTAAATGTTAAACATTATCTCTAAATTATGATAATCCTGGCTATTAAATAAAGACAACATGGCTTACATTTCAACTGATATTTGAAGGTTTGCAATCATAAGAATTAGACATTGATTGAAATTCCAACCAGGTCAAAGAAATAAACAAGGAAATCTGACAGAAATAGATATGTATCAAAAACGACATAATTACAGCTATGGACGTCGTGTTTTGTAGTCTTGTTTAAAGTGTGTTCTGTAGGATTTTATAAGTGAGTCTCTCTTAGCGTTAAGTACCATTCATGTCCACAAAATCTTTCTTCTTTTAAAGAGTTAGTCATTTGATTAAGTTTACTTTGAAAATAAACAGAATCCAGGTCACTGAAATTAGAGTGATCCTTAGGGTGGTGTATACAACAACTTGAAGGGCATGAAAAACCAACCTGTTCAAGTGGCTGTAATCCATACATCAAAGATAAAGCAATCTACAGTCAAGTATTCACTCATTAAACAATCCAGTTTGTAGAATATCTGATCACGACCAGCAACAAACCTGCACATCAAAGTACAAAGGTGACACACGACCTACAACAAGCCTGAATGCTATTGTACAAAGTTGGCACCCAACCTGCCACAAGCCTGCACATCAAAGTCCAAAGGTGGCACCCACCCTGCCACAAGACTGCACATCAACGTACAAAAGTGGCACCCAACCTGCCACACGCCTGCACATCAAAGTACAATGGGGGCCCCCAACCTGCCACAAGACTGCACATCAAAGTACAAAAGTGGCACCCAACCTGCCACACGCCTGCACATCAAAGTACAAAAGGTGACACCCAACCTGCCACACGCCTGCACATCAAAGTACAATGGGGGCCCCCAACCTGCCACAAGTCTGCACATCAAAGTACAAAGGTGACACACGACCTACAACAAGCCGGAATGCTATTGTACAAAGTTGGCCCCCACCCTGCCACAAGACTGCACATCAACATACAAAAGTGGCCCCCAACTTGCAACAAGCCTACACATCAACGTAGAAAGTTGGCCCCCACCCTGCCACAAGACTGCACATCAACATACAAAAGTGGCACCTAACTTGCAACAAGCCTGCACATCATAGTACAAAGGTGCCCCCAACCCTGCCACAAGTCTGCACATCAAAGTACAAAAGGTGACACCCAACCTGCAACAAGCATGCACATCAAAGTACAAAGGAGGCACCCAACCTGCCACAAGGCTGCACATCAAAATACAAAGGTGGCACCCAACCTACAACAAGCCTGCACATCATAGTACAAAGGAGGCACCCAACCTGCAACAAGCATGCACATCAAAGTACAAAGTTGGCACCCACCCTGCCACAAGTCTGCACATCAAAGTACAAAAGGTGACACCCAACCTGCCACAAGCGTGCACATGAACGTACAAAGGTGGCACCCACCCTGCCACAAGACTGCACATCAACGTACAAAAGTGGCACCCAACCTGCCACAAGTCTGCACATCAAAGTACAAAGGTGCCCCCCACCCCGCCCCAAGCCTGCATATCAAAGTACAAAGGAGGCACCCAACCTGCAACAAGCATGCACATCAACGTAGAAAGTTGGCACCCAACCGGCCACAAGCCTGCACATCACCGTACAAAGGTGGCACCCAACTTGCCCCAAGTACAAAGGTGGCACCCAACTTGCAACAGGCCTGCACATCAACGTAGAAAGGTGGCACCCAACCTGCCACAAGCGTGCACATGAACGTACAAAGGTGGCACCCACCCTGCCACAAGTCTGCACATCAAAGTACAAAAGGTGACACCCAACCTGCCACACGCCTGCACATCAAAGTACAACGGTGGCACCCAACCTGCCAGAAGCCTGCATATCAAAGTACAAAGGAGGCACCCAACCTGCCACAAGGCTGCACATCAAAATACAAAGGTGGCACCCAACTTGCCCCAAGTACAAAGGTGGCACCCACCCTGCCACAAGCCTGCACATCAACATACAAAGGTGGCCCCCACCCTGCCACAAGACTGCACATCAACATACAAAAGTGGCACCCAACTTGCAACAAGCCTGCACATCAACGTAGAAAGTTGGCACCCAACCTGCCACAAGCCTGCACATCAACGTACAAAGGTGGCACCCAACCTGCCACAAGCCTGCACATCAAAGTACAAAGGTGGCACCCAACTTGCCACAAGTACAAAGGTGGCACCCAACCTGCAAATCAAAGTACAATGGTGGCACCCAACCTGCCACAAGTCTGCACATCAAAGTTTAAAGGTGGCACCCAACCTGTCACAAGCCTACACAACAAAGTACAAAGGTGGCACACGACCTGTCACAAGCCTGCACATCAAAGAAAAAAGGTGGCACCCAACTTGCCAAAAGCCTGCACATCAAAGTACAAAAGGTGACACCCAACCTGCCACACGCTTCAAGGCACTCAAACGATTCAAAATGAAATCTTATAAGACATGTAAATTAAGACTTTTCCTGGACAAATTTTGCTGTATTTCAGAGGTTCTGCATGATAAACAGAAATTTGGCCATTATCTTAATGTTGCTCATTTTGAAAATTGATATTTTAAAGAAAGTCCTCAGTGATGAATAAATTCACTTCAGTAACTGTTTACCGACACTGACGATGCAGTATTACATACTTTTTTCTGAAATCTAAATTTTTCCTTGATTTTTACAAAGGGTTGTTATAAGGTCATCAGTCAGCAAGTTGTTTTGACTAGTTTAAACTAGTATCTCACTATAGTGTTAGGGATGTTCAATCATCCCTCTTCAAATATAAACTGTGTATCTCTATCAAAGCTAGCACTCCCCATACAATTGGTGCATAAACAAATGTGGTACAGATTCTTCTCTTTCAGAACAGGGAGAGAGTATATGTACTGGTGTATATTTAGTATTTATCTTACCATTAGCTGGTTCTGTTTCACCTCTGGGCATTACATCAACAGCATCTCTGGCAAAGAGAAAACACAGCACAATGTCAAGACACATTGGCAAAAAATACATTCTTATCAAATTTTCTTACACAATAACCACTTGTTATGCACTAAAGCCCAGCCGCGAGTATTAAAAAACAGATTTGAAAAGCTGTGTTATCAGCGGATTTCTCTGATATCACAGGCAAATCAATGTCTCTTCTGCGTTTCACTTCATCTTAATCTAAAAGGGAACCTTGAATGAGCCTGATTGAAACAGACAGTCTCAATAGACATCAAGGTCATTCAACACGGCTGCTTTAATATCAGCCAGATTCATGTTTCTTCATTTTCTAAAACTACAAAAATATCATAAAAAAATATTTTGATATCAATGAAAGACTGTGAACTCCAGCTTGTCCCAGCCTCATGATAAACATGAAATGTGATGAAGAACGTCTGCCCTGCATGCAATGTCGCTGGTGTTACCTTAGAGTAAGGCTGCAACGATATTCATCGCCACATGCTGCGAGAAATACCCCTACTGGTTCGGTACCAATATATATTTTTTATCAAAAATTGGCAAGAAAAAGTTTAGTTTTTATGTATATGACACTTTTGATAGTGTACATACATTGCCAGCATGTAGGTACCAAACCTAAGGTGTATCTTATTAAGTCTAAAACAAGGAAAGACGATTGGTAAATAAATTTAGAGTCAACAAAAATCTGTAATTGGTGTAGTTCATAATATTTTATTTTTAGTTTCTTGTTGAATAATGTCAAGCATTTAAGGACAATTAAGTTGAAATAAAATTGACAAAAGGTCCAAATGAGGGCTGATCCTCAATTTTTTCCACAGCATCAAACTCAACTCAAAAGTCAAAAAGGGAACAGCGTGGAACTGAGATAACAGTAAGTACCAGGTTACTTTGATTAAAATCAAAGATAATTTTGAAATCACTAACTCTGATTTAAACTGGTGTGAACTCAGAATCGTTAATGGGAGTGCCTTTAATTACTTTATTACAGAATACCAAATAGCGAAACTAGCGTAACATTTTAGGCCTGTGATAATATATAATCTTTATAATCTTAAAACAACGGAGAACATGGACTGGAGAACAAACAATCTACCCTACAAATGAGTGATTACTGCGGTATAATCAGAACTAGTGTATTACGTAACAGAGTGCTTAGTGTTGGTATGGTGATAAAGTGTTTTATCCTCCTGGACACATTTCAAGGAAAGTTCTGCCGTAAACAACATCGATAACACTATTTGTTTTGTGCATATTTAAACAAGATAACAAATTAAAACAGGAAATTCTGTAATAATGATGCACATTCAAATTTTTATGAGTTTAGAAGTTGTTTATGGAGTACATCTGTATCTCCCATTGCCTTTGACAGCACCAGACCTATGACAGTTGCCACAAGGGAAATTAGCTGAGAGTCTTGTACCAGTAAACACACACTTGTAAACACCTTATGCCTTACTGTTCAGGGGTAACTTCCACCGTTATACAATATCAATTATCACCCAGCACCGTGCACACACCCCATATGTGTTATACATATTTAATGACTAGCACCCTGATGTTTAGTCAATTGTTAAAATTGATACCTGCTTGTAAAACAACACTGTCGGTGATAAAAATACCTCACCCAATCTGATGTAACCGTCACAGATTTCCATGAAACAGAAAACAGTAGTTACTATAGTTAGTACCTTTCATAGTCCTTACATTACACAATGATTGTGTTTGTTCTAAATTACATATCACATAATTATCTGAGAACAATAGGATGACTCATCCCAGGTGACAATGATATTGACAATTCGTAGTTCAGAACCATCAACAGGTGGTAACAATGATAATGACAATTCGTAGTTCAGAACCATCAACAGGTAACAATGACAATGACAATTCCTAGTTCAGAACCATCAACAGGTAACAATGATAATGACAATTCATAGTTCAGAACCATCAACAGGTTACAATGATAATGATAATTCATAGTTCAGAACCATCAACAGGTAACAATGATAATGACGATTTGTAGTTCAGAACCATCAACAGGTTACAATGATAATGACAATTCATAGTTCAGAACCATCAACAGGTAACATTGATAATGACGATTTGTAGTTCAGAACCATCAACAGGTAACAATGATAATGACGATTTGTAGTTCAGAACCATCAACAGGTTACAATGATAATGACGATTTGTAGTTCAGAACCATCAACAGCTGGTAACAATGATAATGACAATTCATCGTTCAGAACCATCACCAGGTAACAATGATAATACAATTCGTAGTTCAGAACCATCAACAGTTTTCTCAAAATATTATTTCCTTCTTTCGAAAGATAATCCCTGTTAAACAGGAAGTGCACCATTTGCCATGTTTGTTCATTCCCATAACTGACAGCTGGACAACCGTTACACGATAGAGCACTCTGTATACCTGCAGACAGAAGGCCGGCAACTCTGGATTAAAACAGATATTTACATGTGGTTGTCGTAATGTCAGATATGATTTTCTGGGAAAGATCACTGATGGTTCATCTCTTCAATTGCCAGCTTTAAGACAAATCTTATAATCAACTTGTCAAAATTCTCAATTATTTCTTAAGGTGAACAAGCATTGAAAAGATATCGCCCTGTTAAATTTACATTATTTCTTTTATATAATCAAGAGATCAAGGATTGAATCCTATGACAGACATGTTTTTGTGATAAAGAAAGAATTATTTTGTTTATAAACTCGTTGCAATCGTACATGATCAAGCAACTCAACAGTTAGAAAAATACTGAACAAATTGAAACCTTTTTTTCTTTGGAGATACAACCCAGAGAGCTTGACATCTCTTCCTTAAGTGATAAATTGTGACTCAAATGATTGCCCACATTTTTTGTTTGTTTTTCTAACATATAACACAATTTATCAATATTGCATGCCTGGGCCTCATCTTCTATACAAATCATCAGATACAAAGGCAAATGACAATTGCTTCAAGCATCACAATGATACGGTGTTCTGTTTGAAAAACATCACTGAAACTCAGAGTATCATGTGACCAGCACTGAAACAACCAATCACAGTAAGTCATGTGACTAACACTGGAACGACCAATCAGCTGCAGGCTAGTCTGATTTCTCATCATTAAAATATGTCTGTAATTACCAGTTATTGTGCATTTGATGTAACAGAAAACAAACACTGATATCAGAACAATTCATCTGCTTCATTGATTATTGATAAGCCCTCGTGCACAGTTACAAAACCCAGACAATTGAGCATGTCCCGAGCTCTTATTTCTTCAGTACAGTCGGATCAATGTATACGACTGTTTTAACTTTTGTAAGTCCCCCAAACAATTGGTGACATTGATATATTTTATACAATACTCGTATTGATCCAGATCTTTATCACAGATATCATTTTGGTATCACATCTCTCAAGTCTTCTAAACGGAAGCTGTCATGGTAACCAGGTAAGGTGCTGTCAAAGGGCTACCATTGTAAGGCTGGGGTGGGACAAGGGGGTTGGGTGGGTCGACAGGTGAATGTCAGCAGGGCCTTATCTATGCTCATTAAGTGCTGTCACGGTAACTACCACTGGAAAGGGAAGTAGAGGGCAGCAGTGGTCACATCAAGTAGAAAAGTAGAGGGCAGCAGTAGTCACATCAAGTAGATAAGTAGAGGGCAGCAGTGGTCACATCAAGTAGATATGTAGAGGGCAGCAGTGGTCACATCAAGTAGATAAGTAAAGGGCAGCAGTGGTCACATCAAGTAGATAAGTAGAGGGCAGCAGTGGTCACATCAAGTAGATAAGTAGAGGGCAGCAGTGCATAGTCACATCAAGTAGATAAGTAGAGGGCAGAAGTGGTCACATCAAGTAGATAAGTAGAGGGCAGCAGTGGTCACATCAAGTAGATAAGCTCAGGAAGCAGGAACTAGACAGGGAGTAAACATACTGATGACAATAGACACTTTACATCAGATGTTCCTGTCAGAAATCCACATTCATTTTCTGTCTCCACATCCCCATCATTGCATCTCCCAACTTTTTATTATTACTTTTTATGTATTTCTTTCCCATTGTTCCTATTATTTCAATGGAAGATCAAACCATTACTTTAAAGTTTAATGCAGAAAAAAACAACAAAAAAACCCTAGATACAGTAGATGGATTCCGTCCAATCCATCGGATAAGTAATGTTGACTGAGGTTTGTGTTCAGTCAGCAGCACATGAAACCAGCCATTACTCTATACGCTGTCTTGAAGAACTGGTGTGACGATCTTCATAAGTACACATAATTGATCCACACCAATCATTACTTGCTGCTCGTTTTCTTGTCAACTAAATCAAAGTGCCCTTATAAAGAACTGAAAAGCCATCTACATCAGCGACATCAATCAATGCAATAAAGGTGAGGCTATTTCTGGTTACAGCCAACGAAATACAACAGCCACTGGACTGTTTGAACAACCATCCACCAGCCAGCCAGCCGTTGACAAGAGCTTGAAGTCCTTAGGTTGATGTATCACCCAGGGGTAAGGTAATGATTGTCAATAGCCGATGATACATGCACTAACAGGTTCATGGTGGCTACTATAACAGGGTCAGAAGTCACACTTCATAAACACATGGTCAGTGTTGTAATACTTGATGATACCCACACTTAACCCAGAGTTATAGGACCTTCCCCATATCAATAACAGCACTTAAGAAAGTCACAGTTTCTAATAAGTTCCTTATATTTAAGGTAAAAAATCATCTTATAAAACAGCAAATATATACGGAAATGTTTTTACTGAAGAAAGATATTTTTGGTTCGAAATACTTTTTTTATTTTTTTTTTACTTCAAGAGACTTTCTCCCTAAAAATCTAAATGAAATGTTGCAAAATCTCACACCAGGTTTTTCATAAAGGTCTGAAATCTAAATCAAACAGGTTATTGTATTTTATGATTAATTTGACTAAAGACATGATGACAATATGACGGAGACGTTTCTGCTGCCA